TCTTTCAGTGACGTCTGAGCTCTGCTTCACGCTGCACACTGAAGTGAGAAACTGTGGCTCTGAGATTTTCTGCAGCTCTTCACAGACGCTTTACACTCAATCCAGACACACACACACACACACACACACGAGTGAAGCAGTTACACTCAAGCCTTCAGTGCGGTCGGAAAATGACCTGCACACACACACACACACACACACACACACACTGCTGCAGAATCCGCACAAACACACTCCTGCACTGCTCTACACATGCTCTGCTCTGATTGGCTGATCAGCACTCAGATGTGCCGTTATTTTCAGATAAACACACAGCAGATTTTTACTCCATATCCCTCCGCTGAATGATCATGTCTGTGTGTGTGTGTGAGCAGGTTACAGAGCAGACGAGCTCCTGCAGCTGCATGTGAATGTCATCCTCTGCTGATTGAGTTACACTAATGAACAAACGAGCGACACACACTGCAGAGCAGATGACCGTCTTCACACACACACACACACACACACACACACACACACACACAAACACACACTCCATCTCATCTCACACACACATTCAGCTATTCTTAGACTGATCACAAGGACAGACATCAGCAACATCTCTGTGTGTCAGAGCAAACAAACACAACACAGACAGCTGAAGTAGTTCCGGCAGGTTTTTACAGCTCCATATCACTCCGCTGAATGATTACAGTCAGAAATCACATCAGGACACAACAGAAGCAGGAGGAGGAGGAGGAGATGAGGAGGACACTGTGAATGAATGAATGAATAAGCAATTTAATCAATGAATAATTTAATAAATAAATAAACAAACAGTTTTTTAAATAAACAAATGAATAAATGAATAAATAAACAAATGGATAAACAAACGAATAAATGAATGAATTAAATGAATAAACAAATTAATGAATAAACAAATTAATGAACAAATGAATGAACAAATGAATGAACAAATGAATGAACAAATGAATCCATTAATAAACAAATGAATGAATGAATAAAATTAATGAATGAATAAATAAATGAATGAATAAAATGAATGAATGAATGGATGAATATACAAATAAATTAATTAATAAACAAATTAATAAACAAATTAATGAATAAATAAAGCAATTAATTAATAAACAAAATAATTAGTTAATAAACAAAACAATGAATAAATGAACAAATCAATGAATAAACAAATGAATGAATGAACAAATGGATGGATGAATGAATGAATGAATGAATGAACAAATGGATGAATGAATGAAGCAATTAATTAATTAATGAACAAAATAATTAGTTAATGAACAAAACAATGAATAAATGAACAAATCAATTAATAAACAAATGAATGAATGAACGAATAAAGTTAATTAATATATAAAAAATTAAACAAATGAATGAATGAATGAATATACAAATTTATGAATAAATGAAAACAAACAAATGAATGAATTGATGAACTAAACTGGCTGTAGTGTGAGTAAATTAGTGTTTCCCAGTACTGGGTTGCAGCTGGAAGGGCATCTGCTGTGCAAAACATATGCTAGATAAGTTGGCGGTTCATGCCGCCGTGGCGACCCCTCATTAATAAAGGGACTAAGCCGAAAAGAAAATGAATGAATGAATGAATGAACGAACAAGCGAGTGAGTGAGTGAACGAGCGAAGAATGAATGAATACACCAGCGTAAATCAACATGTGTGTGTGTGTGTGTGCATGTGTGTGTGTGTGTGTTGTTGCTGTTGTTAGCAGTAGTATGTAAGCAGTAAGTGTTAACTACAGATGTGTGTGTGTGTGTGTGTAGGGTGTGGAGTGTAGTAAGTAGTGTCTAAGTGTGGAGAG